ACTGACATATAAAAAGAAAGGACATTGGAAGAATCGTGAATCTTCATCATTAGGTACACGCATGTATTTACAAATTTAGTAATTTCCCTATCCTTGAAACATAGAAATATCGTTCTAGATATTTCGCACATAGCCGCACACGATCTAACGGGAAGAACTTACCGAACAAATCAGCGGACGTGAACGCGAGATGGTGGATCTGTTGCTGAAGAGGATGGATGGCCCTCGACGGCGATCCTACGGCTTCCGGGTTTTGAATGATGGACCCGAGGCCGCTGGTGTTGGTCGGTGTCATGTTCCCGATAGGTCTAGGCGCTAAGATATTCTCGATCGTGAAGGCGGACGTGGGTGAGGACATGGTGGCCGAGGAACTCGGCTTGGAGACCTCGCGTGGTCTGAATCGCATCTCGTCGGAACTCACTGGACTCCTGGAGAACGTTCTGTCGCGTCCATCGATGTCGTGTCGCCTTACGGTCACATTGTTCTGCTCGTCGTTCTTCAGCTTGTGCTGCAGGCTTTCCGGCGAATAGTTGTAGAGATATCGGTGACCGTAGCCGGATATTCCGGGACCATCTTGAAGAGGGCTCGACGGCTCCGTCATCGGAGAACGCGATCTGGGCGAATCACTCGCATAGGTACTCTCTACCATGTTACAAGAGTCTTACTCGAGTCGTAAATTGAAATTCTTTCACTTGTGGTTTGAATCCCTGATAGATAGACTTGAAGATCGTTCAAAACGGATATCAAAAATCGCGGAAACGTCGACCGCGAGGATGAGCGTCGTTAAAATCGAGGCGAGAGCATCTTTCGTTCAAATGCGTATTTATATACACTGACCTTTATTTTAGTACGTTTCGCAAAGTGGTACAAAAAAATTTCGTTCAATTGATCTTACGCAGCGCCTTCATGGTCAAGCGTTCGTTATTTACAATACGTGCGAAAAATCACATACCAAGAGCACCAAAGGTTAAAAATCGGTTGAGTACCGTCAGAGTACATCAAAGTCTTTGATGTTACAAGATTCCTCCGAGATCCGTTTCTCTCTCATCACAACGAATCACCAAACGCACTGTTCTCTCGGCAGTCCACTTAGATCTTCGAATTCTCCCCAATTCTCTTCACAGTTTCAAGGCGGATTCTTTGCCTACTCTGCCAAAGTCAAATCGGTCACTTGGTCGTTGCTCTTGTTCGTGAATGAATGGAGTGAATGAAAATCGGCAAGGAAGGAAGGGTCGGCTATGTACAGAGACGCGAAAGAGAATCGAAACGACCCTGAAGGTCCAAGGGACCGGCGACGGAGAGCCACGAGGAGCCGCGAGATGAGAATCAGAGGCGCGTGGAGAAGCCCAGATGTGCACCGACTGACAACCGATGATAAAAGATATCCGACGACTGGTCCAACTTCGTGTACGCGTTGATCTCCGGGGGGAGGAGGGGGGGGGTGCGCTTAGATTCGCCGGCATCTACGGTTAACGGGTAGCCACCCCCGTGTTAGTGACAGAGGGACAGAGACACCCTCGAATATATCCGAGCGAAGTTTTGCCGACAGTGGAGCAGGGGCGTGGCTCACCCTAGCTCCATCCACTTTTCCACCACCCTTCGGCCGCCCGACATCCCCTACGCGGCGGTGGCGATGTCGTGGAGATACAGAGGGATGAACGGGGGAGGCCTCGAGCAGGAAGCTGGACAGAGAAAGAACGGAGATGGAGAGAACGCGAACGCCGAACGCGGTGGCATCGGGAAACGATGGTTTCCCAGGAGGATGCAGGCGGAGGTGCGATCTCCGCGACGACAAGTACGATGGTTTGAGGGGTGGTTGTTGAAAAAGTGGGGGAGGAAACGTCGGGGACGGCCCGGCAGGATGCCCTTTCAACCCCCGTCGACGCGCGTCGACCGGCTTCGACGGCTGCGTGGGGTGGAGGAAAGAGAGGAGACGCTCGATGCACACCGGTGGAAATGGTGGAAGAAACGTATTTATAACGGATAATCACGACTATTACAGTGTCTCGCGTATTACAGAGCTTTCCGTGTTTACATTGCGAATCGTATTCACGAATTAATCATGCTTGCGGAAGTGTTTGCATTCGAACATCCGGCGGTTCCTCCGTACCGATCGAACTCGCTCCACTATTGTTTTTGAAAATAATTTCATGTTTCCGCACTTCTCGTCGTCGCTGCGATTCGTAACCACACGGTGTGGCAGGAGGGGAGGGCAGGGGGAGGGGGAGATTATTGCTCGTATGTTTCCTATCTCTTTGCCGAATGATACCTCCTCACCGTTCGGGAGGTCATTTTACCGCGATATTCCCTTGAATAGGATGAATTTAACGGGGGATCAACGAACTTTCGTTTCATATATATCGTACTCGAGCATTTATTACACGTCTTGTGTAATCGTATAACAGCGTGGTAATCAGGATTTTAACAAGATCGCGAATTTTTATAAGTGACATCCTTTCATTGTGGTTTTATGTTGTCAATTGATTTATAACCACTCGCGTAGGTTATAACCACTCTGTTCAACATTCAGTATTCTATTTTAAGAGAGGCGGCAACGCAGTTGGCTCGCCGTTGGCCAATGTATGAAACGAGATCGTTTGGCAAATTAAAAATGGAAAATACGAAAATAAGTGAAACATTTTTAATCTACGTTATATATATATATAAAACGCATTATATATAAACGGCGTACCACGTACCGAGTATCGTATTCACGATATAACAGAATCGTCTGCATCGCATCGGATGAAACGCAGATTTCCTCGAAAGCGTGCGCGCGCGTGCTTGATTGATTCGCGGATTGAAACTGCGAGCACCGACCTGCGAGCACCAGTCCCGTTCTATAACCGATGTATAACCGAAACAATTTTTTTCATAATACCTATTGTTCAGATTTGAGGATATTATGATTTTGATGTGTGGATTACACCGAGCTCTCGAATTATCAAAAGGGAATTCGATGCCGCGCCGCCTATCCTGTTATTTACATAAACACGTGAAACTCGAATTATACGTTAAATATGTTTGGAACAGGACGCGGATGTTAAATCTATGTAAATCTCTGGATATTCGTCTGTCGTACGATAGTCACGTGTGTAGGATTACTCGTGGAAAGAAGCAAACGGATGTACCCAATTTATATTCGGCTAATCAGGAAGGACATTCCGGTTGATCATTGGTACTTACACGCGTTAACACCGATATCGGGATATTTGGTAGATATTCGAACGGTATAGAATTACCTGTTATTCCAAACTGTTCAATGGGATTTTGTAATATTTAAAATTTCGCTCGTGGGCGAATAAAGCAAGAAGAGGAGAAACATTGAAAAAAAAAAAAATATATTGGGAATAACTCGAAATCAAATCTTGATGGAAACA